AAAGAATAGATTAAATGACTGGCCATGTCGGTCATTTTGGTATTATCTGCTTAGGTAGAACGGGAAAATTAAATGATATGAAGGACAACGAAAGTATCTTGTGTGAAGCGTTGTCTTTACCAGAGGGCATCTCTTAAAAATGTAAATAGCTTTCGGGCTGGGGGCGTGGTTCAAGTGGCAGAGCACCTGCCTAGCAAGCGGGGAATAGCACACCACCAAAACAAAAAACAAAACAAAAAATGCATATGGCTCTGGATTAAACATTCAGTTTTCATACATTAATTGATTCAACAAGTGTTTAAGTGTTACAGTAAATACCGAGAATCTAGTAAAATGTATGAGGTTCAATATTATAAACGATACACGTATCTCTGATTTTCACTTGGAATGTGTCTATTTTGTGAAGCAAAATTAAATGTTAGGGTCAGAAAGGACAAAAAGTAAAACCTGATACAAACGAATAATCACTGATGGTTAAGTAGAGATGAAGTGGCTCATTGTACAGAATATCTGCTTTCCAATTGTATCATCTATGACTTTTTGAAAATCTTTTACTATTAAAGACAATAAAGTTAGACAGATTTTGTACTACAAAGATAATTAAGAAAAAAAAAAGTTTCGAGAGAAGCTCCTGACTCTACTTTCTCCTTTCACGTAGGCTGGTACTCACTTGTGATGGTGGGAAAGCATCTTACACCATGAGGACAAGAACAACCCATAAGGGATCACAGAGCACTGTAGAGAAGGAACCTGAGCTCTGCTACCTTCTGAAGCAGAGCATTCTTCTGGACTGCTAACACAAGAGAAAAATTATTTCTCTTGCTGTAGCTACTGCCTTTTTTGGGTGTCTTTGTTGGCTCAGCTTAGTGCTCTAAAAGAGAAAGTTGTCCCTGATAGGGAAGGACTAAAACAAAGATCCACAGTATGGCATTGGCTGGTAGCACAAACACTGGTGATTCTTGCCAGATGTATTGCTTAACGGTCACCTGTGTTAACTTGGAAGACTGATTATCAAGCTTATCAGTGCTCTGAGAAGTAGCTGAGAGGTCAGAATGTGAGTTTGTATTGGCTATCACTCCTTGCTTTCAGGAAGATTTAACTAAGAGCTGTCTGTTAAGAACTAACCAGTGTATGTCAATTATATCTCAATAAAGCTTTTTTTTTTTTAAAGGAAGAATTAACCAGTTTGCTGATAAAAGGCAATCTGGCAAATGGAAATCTCCAAGTTTGGTGTAATAGAGATCCAGTCTAAAACCACTGCCTCAATGATTGTAAATTTAGCAAAATGACTAGGGGACATAACCCATGTAGTTCCTGAGCTCAGAAAGTATAAAGTCTCAGAAAAGAACGATCATTTTGAGTCTTCTCATTACCATCGTGTGAAGTAGATGTTTCTCTTTTCCCTTTCTCCCTACTTTAATCCTGTTTTACTAAAATTCTCCCTAACTTAAAAAAAAAAAAAGCCAAAACAACCAGTTTGCAAGCAGAGATTGAAGAGAAGCCCCTGTATAACATCTGCCTCTGTTGTTGATCCTCATGATACTAAACATTTTTGAGGGGTCAGTGTGGATACTTAAGTGCCTGAGCTTTTTCTCATCATTCTCCTCTTTTCTAGAACGAAGTACATTCACAGGGTGAGAGAGAGAAAAGATGTCTGGGAGATTAACTTTTTCAGTCCTAAGTTCACAGAGGAAATTTAAGTGGCTTGTCCAGGTTAAATGGCCAATTCATTGGGTTCAATAACTTCTGCCCAAGGAAGAATCTTTCTTCAGCACTGTAGTTATCTTCCTTCTTGAGGCCTTTTAAATATACAGAATGGGCAGTTTCACTGAAGGCTTCCATTCAGTTCCCTTCCTCACCAAGCCTCCCCTGTGTTCAGAAGCTCATCTATGGTGGTAGGCGTGGTGGTGCTAGATGATAACCCCAGCACTGGGAGGCTGAGGCAGGAAGATGGCGAGTTCAAACTCAGTTTGAGCTACATAGCAAGAACGTCTCAAAAAAAAAAAAAAAGCTCATTTTGCCTCTATTAGTTTTAGTATAGTATAAGTTGCTTTACTCAGGAGACTCTAACATAGTTGCTTAAACACAACTTTAAACACAAAACTTTGCCTCATGTTACAAGTAAGATGAGTGGTCCAGTGCTAGTAGGGCTTTGCCATTCCTTAGCACACAGTTTTTGTCTCAGCATCTGAAATAGCTGAGAAACACTCACCCCTACTTCTGCATCCCGCAGAAGGTATGGAAGGCACATAGTGCAAGGCAAATGTATGCCCCAGTACTTTGTTTTTTGAAATTTTGATGTTTTTTGATTTTTATGGTATACAACATATTAAAATATATATCCATTGTAGAATGGGTAAATCAAGCTGGTTTTGTGTATTAACTTGTACATTTGTGGTAAGAACACTTAAAATTTCTCAGCAGTTTTGAACTATGTAGTACATTGTTATTAACCAGTCACCATGTTGTGCAATAGATCTTAAATTTTATTTCTTCTGAAACTTAGTATACATTGGCCGACTTCTCACTCCCCTCCACCACTGACCAGAATTGTACACTTTATGCTCAACTTTTTTATATTCCACACGTGAGGTCCTGTGGTATGTCTTTTTGCGCCTGGTTTAATTCACTTAGTATAATCCTTCAGGCTCAGTCACATTGCCACAAATGACAGGATGCTCTTCTTTTTAAAAGACTAGCTTTCCATTGTGCATACATACCAATTTTTTGGTGTGTGGGGATGGTATTTGGGTTTGAACTCAGGGCTTTTCTCTTGCAAAGCAGGCGCTACATGTCCACTCCCTTCTAATCACATTTTGAATTCCATCTCTGCCACTCTCCTAGTTTCCTGGGAGAATTTACGCTCTGAATCTCACTTTCCTCATCTATAAAATGAGGTCAAAAATCAAACCTATTTTTGAGTTGTTGAGAGGACTAAAGGATACTTTGGTGCCAGATGTCATGGTTTCCACCAATAATCCCAGCACTTGAGAGGCGGGGGCAGGACTGTGAGTTCAAGACAAGCCTGGACTATGAAATACTCTCAAAACCTAAAAAAAAAAAATATTGTGTTATGCACTTAACAGAACACTTGGCATGTATTTACTTTTCCTCATTGTTCTGTACAACACTTTGCCTTGACATGGAGAAAAGTTTGCATTTAATTTTAAACTGTGTTCTCTGGTAATGTTTGGTAGTAGTTGGAGACCGAAAGGCATTACATTTATTTTTACTGCCTTTAATTCTTAAACACTTGGCTCTTTTCATATAAATGGAGTTCCTTTTAACAATTCACTGTAAAAACGTTTCATAATAGTTTATTCTAATGAGGCCAGTAAGAGACGTCTGGGTAGCTTATAGTCCTTGAAATTTAGTGTTGTAGAGACTGCTAGTTAATTGTCCAATATTGACTCCCCCATGACTGATAAATGGAACTCCCACATTTTAGTTGGCTACCAGTCTGCTTAGAGATTCTATTTTCTGGCCACTTCCTTCATAGTTAAGTTCTAACCAATGAAATGTAAAAGGAAGTAATGCATGTGATTTCTGGATGGTGCCCTTAATAAGTACTGGAGCATGCAACGGGTATATGAAAAAATGCTCAACGTCAGTATCAGGGAAATGCAAATGAAAACTGCAATGAGATATTGCCTCACACCAGTTAGAAATGGCTATTATCAAAAATGGGAACGATAACAAGTGCTGGCAAGGATGTGGAGGAAAAGGAACTCTTGCACACTGGTAACAGTGCAAATTAGTACCTCCATCATTGAAAACTATGACGGTTCCTCAAAAACTTAAAAAACAGTACTACCATATGATCTAGCAAGTCTGCTACTAAGTATATATCTCAAATAAATGAAATCAATGTCAAAGAGATGTCTGCACTCAATTATTATGGCACTATTCCAAATAGCCAAGATAAGGAATCCACCCAAGTGTCCACTCATGGATGAATGGACACAAAAATGTGGTTTAAGCCAGGCATCAGTGGTTTACACTTGTAATCCAAACTACTTGGGAAGCTGAAATCGGGATGATCCAGGTTCGAGGCCAGTCCCAGCAAATAGTTATCAAGACCCTATCTCCAAAATAATCAGAGAAAAATAGACTGGAGGCCTAAGGACTGGAGCAAGTGGTAGAGTGCCCCTGAGTTCAAACTCCAGTCCCACCAGAAAAAAAAAAAATGTGATTAGAAGTGAAATAATCTGCCTTTGAAAAATGTGGGTGGCTAAAGTTAAGACAAAGAAAATACACAGAGACTCCCTCAATTTTGTGTTTACAGTAACTTTTATTACAGGAATCTCAATCTTCTCATCTTCCAGTTCCAGAAATGTTGATCCATTTTCAACTTATGGGATATTAACATTTTAGATGGAAAATGTGTTTGTCACTCATATTAAGAAATTCATTTATAGGAGCTGGCGGAGTGGCTCAAGTGATAGATCACCTGCCTAGCAAGTGTAAGGCCTGAGTTCAAAGCCCAGTACCACCACCAAAAAAAAAAAGATTCCTATGTAGCTGGGCACTGGTGCCTCTCACTTATAATCCTAGTTACCTGGGAAGCTGAGACTAGAGATCAAGATTAGAGGCTAGACCGGGCAAATAAGTTCTTGAGACCCTATCTCCAAAATAACCAGAGAAAAGTGGACTGGAGGTATGGCTTAAGTGTTAGAACACCTGCTTTGCAAATGTGAAGCCCTGAGTTCAAACCCAAGTCCCACCAAAAAAAAAAAAAAATCATTGTGCCAGGTATGGGTGGTGCATGCCTGTAATCCCAGCACTCAGAAGGTGGAGGCAGGAAAAATTTGGAGAGTTCTGGGCTAGCCTGGGCTACCTTGTGAGACAAAACAAAAACAAAACAACAAAAACCCTGTAGAAATTCACTCTGGCTGGTTTTTAAGTTTGTGTGTCTTCACATGCAAATAGAAAACCCCCAGTAATCATTTAATACAATGGATGAGGAGTTGGTTTTTCCAATTAATTTGTGAGTTTGGTTGGCATGTATCATGTATGCGATTGGCCAATTTTCAAGGAATTTCTAAGAATATTACCATGGTCTACAAAATGTATATGAAGATACACATTATAAATTGATCTGCCATTTCTCTGATGAGTCAGAAGGCTCTTAGGGATCTCCCTAGATCTTAAAGCAGAAGTTTCCAAATGGCCATTTCAACTTAAGGATCTGCAGCAAAATGAAAGATGAAATATACATGGTTGCTGGTTTATTAAGCTTTTTCCCCTGTAATTATGCCTTTCCAACTTTCTAAATTCCAAAGTCTCTGGCAAGTACAAGTAGAAAGATACAGTTTCCATTTACAGATAGAGAAAGAGTGGGGGAAGGAACAGGCTTTGAAGGTGAAAGGAATTATTTTTAGGCATACTAGGTGTGAGATGCCTGGTAGATATAAAGTGGAGATACTGAAGTGGCAGGTGGATTCTGGATCTCAGATCATAACTGAAAGTAAAATTTTTGCAGACAACATCTAGTATTCACAGGCATCAGACTGGATGAAATCATCAAGGAAGTGAGCACAGAAAAATCCAAGATCTAAAACCTGGGATCCTCCAACATTTAGGGATAGAGGATATGAAGAGAAAACAGCAATAAAGCCTGTAAATAAAAGGTCAATGATATTGCGAGGAAACCAGTAGAGTGTGGTCTTCTGAAAGCCAAGTGAAAATTCAGAGGAGGGAGTGATCAAATGCACCTCAACAGGTCAATTAGAATGAAGACTGATCCTCTTGATAAGCAGTATGGTAGTCACTGGTGATCTCAACACGAGTGATTCTGGCGGGAGCAAAAACCTGCTGAAGTGGGTTCAAGACAGAACGGGGGTAGGTAACTGGACAGCACTGGGTATCTGACTGCACAAAACCACATTGGCTTCCAGTTAAATACAGAAGACTGATGATTCAACTTCATCTCTTTTCATCTCCCCTAAAATACAATAAAAAGATTGAGAGGTATTAAATAGCAAGGATAAAGAATGAAAGACAACAGAGGATGAAACTTTCAGAAGACAGGAGGCAAACGAATGTGAGGTAACTAACTTAAGACAGATCCCTTAGCAGAGCAGATCCGATCAGAGGCCTAGCATTTGAAAACGTGAGGCACCAGTCATGGCAGCCAGGTTCAATACACAGAAATGAGGCAAGCAAAAAAACAGGGCAATATCAACAAGAAAACAAAGTTTTATATGACATGAACAGAGAAAAGAAAAGGTATTTATATGATCCCAGTGCAACATTTTTACTGACTTAATTGACAGTTAAAAGATAATACTGGAGCCAGGTGCAGTGGCTCATGCCTATATTCTTAGGCAGGTGTAAACAGAAGGAACATGGTCCACACTGGTCCAACATAAAAGTGAGACCCTATCTGAATATACCTAAAGCAAAAAGGGCTGAGGGTGTGGCTCAAGTGGTAGAGTGCCTGCCTGGCAAGCACAATGCCCCAAGTTCAAGCCTAGTACTGAAAGAAAGAAAAGATGATATAGAAAAAATTATGTAAGGGAAAGTGAAGTAGTAGTATATGAGTCGGTGTGGTTAACAGTCTCTAAAACTGATATATCAAGAAATAATAGGATAGGGCCATTATTCAGAAAGCAAAAACAGAAGAAACAAAAGTTAAATGGGGCTCCTTCTGGGATCAGGACTCTGGAGTGAGTCAGGGAACCTACTACATTTCCTTCTAGGCTTTTTAGCACAAATTGCTTTTTTTAAACCATGAAATTACACTATTTTTATAGTTTTTATACTTAAAAATAAGTAAATGATAAAGCATATATAGGAAATGAAGGACAAATAATAACACAGTTGTTTGTTCAAATAGGAAAATGTTAAAAATACAAAATTAACTGTAACAATCTAAAATGAAAACTCAAGTGATGCTAACATTGGTGGGAGCAATTGGAACATGTCTGGGGAAGTCAAGGAGGACAGTAGTATGTTAAGATTTTTGTGTTGCTCTAAGACTACAGTATTTATCAATTTAAAAGAATAAATGTTAACTGTGGACTAGAAGTAACTATTACAAGAATAAAAATAAGAATATGTAGCTTGCAGAAGAAAATCTGATCTAATAGAGGTTGGAGAATAAAAACAGGAAGTGTATGTTAAACACAAAACTTGTAATAAGGTGGCAGAAATTTATGAAGTAACAACTGATAAAACCATCGGAAATAATCAGCAAGTGGACCTTTTAAATATATTATTCTTTAAAACAGAAAGTAAAAATTAGCAAATATAAAGATGAACTGAAAACCATGCTAAGTTCAAGCTAACATACTACTCAATCTAATATAATCCTTTACTGCATGTTTTCACATGAAGTATTTCTCTAGAGTAACATTCTTGGTACCTCTTTCTTACTCCTTTCTCTCTCTCTCTCTCTCTCTTTCTCGCTCTCTCTCACTATCTCAGAAGAGAAGTGAATCAGCTGATTGGTGAGTTTGGAAGAAGAAACTGCAACATGTGGTTTCAACCACCCTCTACTCTCTTACTGGATCTGCTTACCTATAAGTAAAGGGACTTTGTGGTCTGTTTTCCTGGCCATTCTGTAAGCTTGATGGGTCACTTTGTCTAGGCTGGATAAATTCAGGGAAATATTAGCAAAATCTATATGCCATTACCCCCAAACTAGATTAGAACTAACATAGTTCATAGTCCTACCTGTATACTCAAGGCCTTCAATCAGCTGTCCAGTCTTTTACTCTTAAACCTAAGCAGGTATCCAAAGATCAGCAGAAAACTAAGGAGAGCCTACATCATGAAAGACAAAACACACACAAGAAAGTAACTTAGGGAGGAAGAAGACATTTCAAGCAAAATAATTTCACTTATTAAAACCCTCAGTTAAAAGAAAATGATTGTTACACTATTAAAATCAGATTTCTCAGCGGCACAATGGAAGCTAGAGGACAAAAAAGAAATCTCTTCATATTTATAAAGAAAAACCATGGGCCAACTACTATTCAAATTGAGAGTGGAATTCAAGCCATTATAGATAAGTAGAATCTCACTTTTCCTTCTACGCAGCCTTTCTCAAGAGCTCCTAGAAAATGTATTGTCTCCCCCAAAGAGTAAATCAAGGAGGCAGGTGTGGGTATGGAAACAAGACACAGGGCTGGGAGTGATGGAGCATGCCTGAAATACCAACTATGCGGCAGGAAGAAATGGTAGGATCTGGTCTGAGGACAGCCTGAGCAAAGTTAGTGAGAACCTATCTCAAAAAACAAGGTGGGCTTTGTGTTGAACATCCATAATCCCAGCTATATGGAGGTAGGAGGATTGTGGTCTGAGGCCAGTCCTAGGCAAAAGCTGAAAATAAACTAAAGCAAAAAGGGCTGGAGGTGTGGCTTAAGTGGACTCCTGAAGAAAATGAATACAAAGCCTGGGGTAATAGTTGTACATCAGATAAAGAGAAACCAACTGAGTTGTATAGATGAAACCAGACACATACTGAGGGCTTTCTTCAAAATGCTGTCCTTTGTTGTCCTGTATTTTAATATGATAATGCTTGGGTGAGCCTGGGGTAGATTTTTATCTGTAATTGGTTTGCTGGACCATGTGCTGATGAAGTCCTTGTACTGTCCTTCAAGCACTCTGCTCCTAGGATCATGTGAGAACACACAGGTTTCTGCTTTGATCTACTTGCCAGAGTTGGAGTGGAAAAGCCTAAGCAGCCTGGTTCCCCTCTCCATCTTACAGATATCCAGTTCCAGTAGCCAGTGTTCCTTTCAAAATATACTAACTGTGGATGATCCTAGGTTTTTCAAATTTCCTCAGGCCCTTGATCAATGACTTTCCAAAAAAAGGCAAAAATAAATTCTCAAGAGAAACTGAAGCCAGACTATGATCCAGTGCCTCTTTCCAGGCTATGCCCTCTGGGAACACTTCACCTAACAATGCCAATAATGTATACAGCTGTTTCTGCATGTCATCTCATTTTTGTTTTTACCACTTTCACACTCATTTATGTGTACATATTTAATTAAACAAATTATTTCATTGAAAAATTATATCAAGAATACAAGAATCAATGTCATTCATCATACTACTATTATAAAAGTTGAAAAACCAGACATCTAAACAAATGCAGATTTAAATGAGCAATAAAAGGAAACTTCAATAAAGACTAACTAGCATAAAGCACAAAACAAGTATCATATTTAATAAAGCAACTTTGGACTCTGAAGCAGAAATAAGATAAAAACACCTGCAACCACAGTGCTGTGAAATATACTCACAACCTGGCCATATCAATGAAGGGGAATGAGAAAGATAAGGGACTGAAAAGGAAGAGAAAAACCTTCATTATTTGCACTGATACACCAAAAGAAACAATATTAGAATTTAGCATTCATCAAAGCTATACATGCAAGATCAACATACCAAGTTCAATATATTTCTCTGCAGTAGTAATAACAGGCTATCATTTTCAATGACAGTAACAATTATTAAGTAACAAGGAATTAGCCAAACAAAATGTTCTGAATAAATGGAGAGCTTATGTTCACAAAGGAGATGATTCTACCTTGTAAGTATGGCAGTCCTTTCTAAATTAACTTATAAATTCAATACAATTCCAATAAAAACCTCAGCAGCTTGTTTTTGGGAACTTGACAAACTGATACTATAATTCAGACAGAAGAATAAAACCCTACAAATAGCTATTTTTAGCAGAGTAAGGCAAAGCTAAATCTAATAGGTAGAAGGGAATATATATTACAAAGTTACATTAAAATAGTGCTGTCCTGCAAAAGGAATTGACATATACCATTAAGATATTTTCATGTTTCTGAGAACTTGGTATATTATGAAATGAGAAAAGCATGGATAATTTAGTAGCTGATGTTAGGAAAGCTAAAAACAATCCCACTCTGCATGCTCAGAAAATCCAAAATGATATAGCCTGGAACAGAGGACACTTAAGTTGACAGAAGGATAGAGCACAAGGTAAACAACAGCATGTAGGGGAGAGCATTCTCCTTCAGTAAGCCTCATGTACTACAGGAAGCACTGTCTTATGAAAATCCTTGAAGGCAGTTTCTAGGTCGAACAACTCAGTTACCAATCATTCCTTTCTAAGAAGTCTTAAAGCCTGTGCCTTTTCTTTCTACAATTAAAAAGATATTGTCAGTAAACACCTGTCATCCCATATTTATCATAACACAGTAGATTTCCAAGGAAACAGGGCCAGGAAAATGTAAATCTAAGATTTTTTTCCCACAGAGAATGAGGGAAAGGGTTTTGTTAACTCTTTTTTGCTTAATGAACAGATGGGAAAAAGATAGACTAACATCTCATACTATAGCCAAAAACTAATTCCAGTTAAATTAAAGACCTAAATGTGAATGGTAAAGCTATAAAACTGACAGGAAAACAAGATACAAAAAGCCCTAAACAATTGGGGGGATATCTATCTCACAAAAGACACCAAAGAAAACAATTAACAAATTGACAAGACCAAGTTATTTCCTGCTTCTCAACCTGACAAGCAAATGACATCTAGAATATATAATTTCTTATACGGAAAAGTGGGCAAACTGTAAGTATAGGTAATGGAAAACCAGAATAACTGAAAGGAAACTCTTACCCTCAGATAATGCAGATTAAGAAAAAAATACAATTTCACACACATCAGATTAACAAAAACCAGAAAACATCAAGTGCTACTGAAGATGTAAGAGAAATGTTTTGCTGATGGAAGGGAAACCAGTACAGTCATTCCTAAGAACAATCCAGAAGTATTTACTGATATTAAATATGTGTATTTTCAAAACACCAGTCATTGGTGTCCAGACTAGACTCTATACTAAGATGTATGAACCAAAGAAATAATAGAGCAGGTTCATAGGAAGACATGGTCAAGTTTCTAAGAGTGTGAACAAATGGAATTATTTATGTATTTCTGACTAGAGTATGAACTATAGTATGTAAACATAACAGTATACATCAGTTAGAAGCACATTATGTAAGTAACATGCATAGGTCTCATAAACCTACTATTTTATAACAGTTACAAGCAGAATGAAATTTAAACCAGTATCATTTATGTAAAAATTTAAAACTTACATAAAATATTATTAAATTGCTTTTTAAGGAAACTTAGCCAAAACATGGAAGATGGCTTATAAGGACAAACATAAAATAAAGTAGAGAATGAGGAGCGTGGAACTGCAGACAGAAGATAAATGAAAAACTCTTAAGGTAATGTAAAACAATGCAAGTGTAGCCTTTCTGGACCAATGAAATTGGTGTCCCTAATGAACGGTATGATCAGTGAATGACTTAATTCTGAGCACTGAGGTCCTTAAAAAATAAAACACTTATTTGACATGTGCAGAAACACTTAAATCTGTAAGTTAAACACTACCTCTTAAAATGTAAAAAATGATACCTGGTAAATACTCCACAAAATGCATGAGTTAGCTGACTTTAGAAACAGTTCATTTTCCCAAATGAAATAAACTAAAAAATAACACAATGTGAAAGGATATTTTAAGAAGCAATACTGAGAGAACAAAATTTCTTATGTTGAGCAAACATTCCACTATTATCCAGTAAAAAACTTAAAATGACATTTTGGGCAAAGTTATAAGTACAAGTAAACTAAGTTTTTTTTTTTTTTTTTTTGTGGTATTGAGGTTTGAACTGAGGGGCTTACACCTTGAGCCACTATGCCAGCCCTTTTTGTGATGGGTTTTTTTTGAGATAGGGTCGCACCAACTATTTGCCCAGACTGGCTTCAAACTGTGATCCTCCTGATCTCTGTCTCCTGAGTAGATAGGATTGTAGGCATGAGCCACCGGCTAATCTAACTTTAATTCTTAATTAAATATGTGTAAATCTGAAATTGTACATTGATATGCTGTGACAGTTTTATAGGATTTAAGAAGCTTAAGTACATACAGAAAAACTTACAAAACATGTAACTGCCATAACATCTTAGTTTTGATTGTACTATTTTTTAAAAAGTGCTCTCACATGAAGCAGATATAGTTCTTCCAACGTTTATTAATGAAGAAACTGAAAAATGAACAATGAAGCCTAAATCTTATAGTAAGTTTTGGTGTCCAGACTAGACTCTAGGTCTCCCAAAAATCTAGATTTGAGTTCTTTATTTTTGTTTAACTTACCCGTAGGTAATTTTTCTATAAATTGTAAATCTAGTATTTTTCTTTAAATCACAAAGAAGGACAACAGACACAGAGGTTTACAGTAATATACACAAATGATATGAAGAAAAATGGAGACTATATTAATTTAACCCTGCAAAAGAGTTAACATTTATCTTTTAAAAAGTCAATCAAGTTTAATATATTTTTTATTTCTCCAGTAAAAGTAACTTCACAATCTATTAAAAATAAAAATTTAACTGCATTCAATTTGTTCTTTTTTCCATTAAAGAAAGCACAAAGTAAAGGATAGCTGTATTCAAGTAAATGAATAATTATGATTCTGACTGACTAAATCAAGGCCCTAAATAAGATGTTAAAACCTGAAAATTTATAGTCCTTGTATCTGTTATTTTCTGAACTGATAAAACACAATCAGAAGAATTAAAAGAAACTTGTTTTCTTATTGTAATTTATGATTTTATTTAATTGAAAATGTTTTGGTTTCAATTAGTAATTTCTGCAAAGCAACACTCCTTAAATAAGTTCCTGAAAAAGAAAAATGTTGGAGCCTTGGCCATTACATTTAATCTCATCTAAAAAAAGTTATACTAAAGCTGTCATGATAAAAAAAAAGAATACAACATTTCTCTGCTGTTCTAGTCTTAAATTGCCTTTCTAGATTATTAATAATTTTTGGACACAGATAACCAGTTAGATAAAGTATACTGTAATTCAGCATACCAGTCAAACAACAAACACCCTAAGAAAAGTAAAACAGTTTTGTCTTTCATTTTTCTGCTACAGGACCCTGAGGCTGATCTGGCTGGCTAGGTGGGTGTCACCTTCCTTCCTCACCACTCCATGTGCGTCCTCCTGGATGTTGTGCACTTGGAGAGGACAACCTTCCCTGATGGAGGAGGACCATCCTTCCATCAAGGGTATACTATTTGCTTTGCTCTCCTGGAAGAACCTTCAAACAAGCTCTCATTTTCTGCTATACTCTTTTCCCTATACAACCTTAATAACAGTTACACATTCTATCTTAAAGACTCACCTTTTCTGACCTAAACAGTGCTGACTCAACATTTCACTTCTACTTTACTGCTAGCATTGAGTTTAGATGTCTAGACTGTCTAGAGCAGACAGAGCACTTCTGATGTCACAAGATCAAGTGTAATAATTTATAAAAAAATTTGTTTTGAGAATAAAATTTCTACAAATTAGTTTCTAACAATTCAAAGGAGGACATTTAATTATAAAACACTATGTAAAATAATAATACAAGAAATTTTTACCATCTCAACTTGAAGGATAATACCTGGGTGTTAGAAAAATAGACCTAAGATAGATTTTACTAGAAGTACTTGTTTTTTCTGCACATGATCAACATTTTCTATCTTAAATGATGTTACTTATTATATTCAAAAAAGGGCTTCCCAAGAAGCCTTTAATAAAGTTCTTCTATACTGAGTCAGATATAGTCTAGTCTGAACTGCTCTAGAATCCCTTATTTGATAAACATAAATCTATAAGATAAAAATACTAAACCATAATCTATCAAAAGTTGTTTTCAGCAGCATCTGTAAATGTATTCTTGTATATTTGCACTAGTAATGGCATTCACCTGCAGTATGATCACAGCAATTGCATGAATTCTTCAATTTTATGGGGAAATGTTCAGTGTACTAAAACTTAACTGCATTTAAAATTATTATTAAGCAGAAAAAAACCAAGTCAAATAGTATTATATTTAAATGGTAATTGAGTATTTTACTTAAAGTCTCAGTAGTAAAAACTAAATCAAAAGAAATGTGTATTCAATGTGACACATTTTCAGTGTTTAAAGAATATACTGAATATTGAATTTTAAAAGTAATTATACTAGGTAGAAGCAGAGAATCAATGAAAAAACTAAAAATCACTACTGCTAGAACTGATTATATCATTAAATACAAAAATCAAAGAACTTGAGTCTTAGTTGGAGGAAAAGAAAGTAAATCTTTCATATAATGTTTCATGTGGGATGAAAACTAGTCATATTATAAAGAGAAAAATAGAGTTACACTGTCATTCTAGAACCATCTTCTTCAAAATGCTTCTAGTGACCTTTTCAAGACAACTAAAAAAATACAATAGAAGATCATAGTATTGATTGTTTGTGGATGAAAACATATTACTATCTAAAGCAAATCCAACACTGGGCATAGTACAGATCAGAAAATTTTTATTATTCAGTTTACTTAAGGTTATAAAAAATTAGCCTTTTGGCCTGTTCTCATATATATTTGTTATCACTCAATTTCTGAGGATTTCAAGTTATTTAACCTAGAACTCTGAAACGCATTAATGATCCCTTCTATAGCAAACTGTGTACTCTATAGATCATCAAACTTACTGCTCCAACCAAGGGATTTAAGTATGATGAAAATGAAAGCAATCTCCATAATCTTAAAAGCCAGGTGAAACAAACATCCTCATGGTCCAATAAATTATAAAATGTAACCAGGTCACTAGACCAACATATTAGTGGATAACTTTAATAATTTCTAGCAGCAAAACACCCGGAATAGTCAATAACATGTTTTCATTGAACTGTAATTTTTTTAAGAAAAGATTTTAAAAAGTACTCTAAAGTATTGTTCAACTGCATGCAAACATGAAAGATGTCAAAGATCTTGTTTAGCTCCACTTTTCCCTGTGGAATCAGGTGCACCTGGAACCTTACTAGTTTCAACAAAAACAGATTCAAAGGCAGCTTCCTGTTCATCCAAAGATTCGGCAGCTGTGGCTCCTTTAATTAGTGTTGGGTTGGTAAAAGACTGTTGCTGCTTGGAAATTTTACTCAATTCTACTGTTTTTCTACCTCTTCTTTTACCAAGAATTTTGACATAATTTGCAGGTATAAGTCCTGTTGTTTGACCATCAAGACTAGCCAGAAGCCAACCACGCACTTTGGGTTGTTGTTCTGAAGAGAAAAAAAGACAGCCTTATAATTATGACAAACTTGGAGGTCCAACAGAATATTTATGGTAAAATATTAGGTAAAATCCGTTACAGTTTCATATTAAAATATATAAACAAATAGTACAGGCTTATATATTCAAAAGCTAAGTTGGTGTAACTGTTTTAGGTCCTTTTTTTTTTTTGGTGGTACTGGCAGAGGCTCTATTACTTGAGCCACACCTCTAGCCTTTTTTTTTTTTTTTTTTAAAAGACACAGTCTGTGGTTGCCCAGATTGGCTTCTAATTCCTGAACTCAAGCAATCCTCCTACCTCAGCCTTCTGAGTAACTGGGACTATAGGTACATATCACTGTGCCCAGCTTTATATTCCATTCTTATAATTATATTTACTTTATACTTATGTTTATAGCAGTTGGTTCATTCATAGGGTAAGGAGAGTCAGTTCTCTAAATAACTGAAAATTAACATCAATGATGAGCCTGGTGTGATGGTACACATCTGTAATCCCAGCCCTTTGAAGACTGAGGCAGGAGAAAAGGTTTGAGGCCAACCTGGACTACATTGTGAGACTCTATCTGAAAAAAAGCGCCCAAACCAAAAACCAACAGTGACAACAAAAAAACCTCCATCAATGTTTTTCATATTTAAACTGGAAATTAAGGAATATCTCCTTCCCGCTCAACTGGGGAAGTTAAAGGTCTATGCTATTCACGCTGGCTCCAAATTTCTGGGCTCAAGTGAACCTCCTGCCACAGCCTCCCAGGCAGCCAAGGCTACAAGGGTGTGACACCTCATCCAGCTTTTAAATATATGTGTTCCTTTATGCAATCAGTTTTCTTCACATATTTTTGGTCAAAATGTAAAATTCACTCCATGAAGATGGTAAATGGTAATTATAATTCAAGATGGGCAAAAATTTAAAGAGCCCAGAGTTATTTCTAGCCACGTGACAAAAGGTTAAAGGTAATACTATAAGCTTAATGGAAGATTATTTAATATATTCAATTTTATAAGGCATTTCTCACCTATTTTATGTCTTTAAACTCTGTTTAACTGTTATAATTTTAGTTTAATATTATAAAGTAGGCAGAGGACTTTGTGTTTAATAGTCCAGATGTCTGTGACTGATCTTGCTCTAAATGATCAAACATACTTTCCTTATTTAAGCAATGGAGGAAAGCAAAGAATTAAAGTCCAAGTGCTAAGAGGACTACTAGTTGAAGAATAATGATACAAAATTTTTCTGAAATACTGTAATTATAAAAAAATCATACTTGACTTTTATATCTTTTTTTTTTTTTTTTTGGGTGGGACTGGGGTTTGAACTCAGGGCTTTGTGCTTGGAAAGGAGGTACTCTACTGCTTGAGTCACACCTCCAGAGTGACATCTGCTTTGGTTATTTTGGAGTTGGGGGTCTTATAAACTATTTGCCTGGGCTGGCCTTGAACCATGATCCTCCCACAATCTCAGTCTCCCAAGTAACTAGGATTATAGGTGCGAACCACCTGTTAACCACACCCAGTGGCTTTCTAATCCTGTATTTAGATTCCTTGAAACCAATGATAAATTCCCATCTCTAGTAATAAAATTTGAAAATAAACCATTCTTTTGAAACTCAAAACAGTAAATTACTATTTGTACTAGAAGAAAAACATAAATATGATATCTAAAAGTCTAGTTTCTATGTATGAATGCATGAAGTAGAGATCTGGCAATCTGATCTAAGGTTTTCAATTACTTACCTACTAAACTTAATGATTTGAACATTGAAAATATTTTTTCTTCCATAGAGTGACTGAGACTAGTAAGAAGCTGCAGTTTCTACTAACAAGTATTCCCATGGGAAAGTTAGCCAGTCATTAAAAGCACAGGTCTGAAGTCAGACAAACCTAAAGTCATAGTCTAGGTCTACCACATCTTAACTTTACTGGACAGTTTACTCATTCTGAGTCTGTTTCCTAATATGCAAAATAGGAACAGGAAAACAAAACATGATGTTCTGCAGTAATTCTGAATCTACACAAACACACACAATTAAAAAACAAAAATTCACAAAAATCCTGGTCATCCGTATTGAGGAAAGGTGAAGGAAAAGGTCATTTTGTTTCCGGGCATTAAGAACTATTAGTGACCCTGGTGCAAAAATAAACCTGAACCTTGTGTATATTCCCTGCTGGGGTTCTCTAATACTGCAGGACAGTAATTCTCAAAAAACTCCTAGTGGTGTTTCTGATGTAAACACTATTTAAGTAGTAAAGAAAGAAAAAGGACAGGGAGATCCTTAGATGATACTGGACAATTCCTTTGGCTTACTGGATTTGTGACATTTAATACTGACTTCAAGATTTTCTGGGGGATTAACAGAGTTTGGAATTCAAGTGTTTTGAGTTTAGAAGACGATATATAAACAAGTCTTTCCTTAACTTAGTGAAATATTATTGGAACAACTCATTGGGACATGTCTCTCTGACCTCCTCAGATTGGGAAGGTCCAAAATGACATAAAAGAAATTTTAAATTTCTCGTATTTAGTAAAATTTTATTTTAACCATTCCAAAGTTAACTAACACAGAACAAGATCCTTTGTTATGGTTTCTGATACTATATTTATAAACATTAAAAAATCAGAGATTTTCCAATTTAGTCATGATTTGTTACCTTTGAGAGCTAAGTTTAACATATCACCAGCACGGAAAGAAATTTCTTCTTCAGATACGGCAGCAAAATCATATTCCGCTCTAGCAACTACATGGTCATCCTCTCCACTTGCCCAGTTGATATTGTCTACAAGCCAAATTAAGAATTAAGATTAGGTTAGTAAAGCCTGCAAAGGAGAAATGCAGATATTTTACTGGCTATGGCTTGCATAAATTTATTTTCCAAGAGAAAAGTGCTCCAAGTAAATCCTATAATGAACACTGTGCTAAGAAAACAATATGCTCACTAAGATATCTCTTATGAACTTTTCCCTTTTCTTGAAGCTCTAAATTCTAGGTCCCTTACTTTAAGCCAAGGATTGGCAACCGTTTTTCTGCAAAGGGTAAGATAGTAAATGTTTCAGACTTTGTAGGCCAGGAGGCAAAGGAAAGGTATCATGGTTACTTACGTAACAGAGGGAAAAAGTCAATACATTTTTTTTGCAGTACTGACAGACTTGAGCTCATTCTACCACTTGAGCAACACTCCTGGTCATTTTTATTTAAGTTATTTTTCAAGTTAAGAGTCTCGAGTTTATGCCTGGGCTAGCCTGGACCTTGATCCTATTAACGCTTCCCAGGTAGTTGGGATGACAGGCACACACCATAATGCCCACATTTTTATTGACTGAGATGGTGGTTTCTCCAGCTTTTTGCTCTGGCTGGCCTTGAAAATTGAGCACCCTGCATTCTGCCTCCTGGGCATCTAAGTAAGATTACAGATGTGAGCCACACTGTCTGGCTGCTTTGGCTATCTGAGACAGTGTCTTATTGGCTGGGATGAGGACATGAACTTTTGCCCAGGCTGACCCTGAACCTCCCAATCTTTGCCTCCAGAGTAGCTAGGATTACAGGTGTGAGTCATCATGCCTGGCTTCAAATATTTTGTTATTGTTTTTTCTAATACAGTTCAGTTACTAGGAAAAATGGAGTATCTGGGGAGAGGATATTTCACTCAATTTGGGTTCAAATGCAAATGTTCATTTGTTAATGCTAATCTGTAATGAGATTTGGGATATTTCACCTTTAAAAATGTCTTTTTCACTGATAGATATTGCCAAATCCTGACAATTCATGAGCATGCAGTTTTAATTAGTCATATTCATTACTTGGGAGATCAATAGACTAGCATATAATTCTGTCAAATTCTCTTGATTTTGCCTTTTACACTTTACATTGCTGATTAATTACTTCCAAGTGAAGATTAAGTGGAAGCTCCTCAATATCAGTTAAAATAGATTTTGAAATATAGAAATTCCTTTGCATTTGCAGGGAGACCTAACAACTACACTGGCATTTTAGTTTGTTATCTTTTTTTTTCTTCCTTTTTTTTTTTGGGTGGTACTGGGGTTTGTGCAGGGCTTTTGCTTCCTAGGTAGGTGCTATACCACTTCAGGCACATTCCCAGTCTTTTGGCATTGGAATATCTATTTGTAGCAAACTTTTGTGGGAATGGAGATCTTGCTTCTTATTTTAACTTTGGACAAGAGTGGGAGGTGTGTAAAGTAGTGTGACAGTATTTGTGATTCAAACATTATTAGCTGTTACCAAGTCTGTAATATACAAGTCTGTAGCAAAAGCTGATTTCCAAAGCCTTTAAGTGTTTAATAATACTGACTAAAGATGGTTCTGTTCAGAAAAATTTTAATCTTGGCCTCAGTTTCAAAAAAAAAAAAAACCAAAACAAAACCCAAAAAAACTTGACCATTGTTAAGTTATTGAATTGCTATGAGGAAGGGAAAGTCAAGATCTTTAGTTTGTTCATTTGACAAAAATTAAATATAACTGACTGTATCACAAGAGTGAATGAAGATTACCTTTGACACTATTTGTTCAATAATACCTGACAAAATCAAGTATTTTCTGCAATGCCTTTGCTGATAGGTAAAACAATGACTAACCATAGACTTAAAAAAACTTCCTATTTTCAAGACTTGTGTATTTTGTTCAAATAAGCCTTTTTAGGCTCCAGCTATATTTTTGCCACCTTCAGTCACAATACAGCTCAGCAGATTTCACTTTAGGTTGTACTGAATCAGTGTTTTTAACTTTGAAAATATTTGTGCCTGTAGTCATACTGTATAGACTATTTACAGGCTAATTCATTAGTCACTTCAAATCCATTGTCAACTCCTCAAATAAGCAACTGAACAGTATCTCTATCTGCTGGGTCATCATGAGCCAATGAAAACCATTCAAATAATTTGCTTTTTATTTTTTAAAGTGCTGGGGGTTCAACACAGGTCCTTATGCATGCTAAGTACATGTTCTAGCACTGAGCTATACCCCAAAGCCCTTCATTGGCCTTTTAAGTTCACTAGATTGTTCCAAATGCTGTCAACTCTTCAAGAAACTGTTTACTAAAAGGCTAATAGTCTTAAACAAAACTTTCTCTGGACATATTTCTTTGGCTGATTAGCTGATTAGCCTCAGCTTTTCAGCTGTCTAGCAAATGAGGCTTTCAGAAAGTTATTTTGGTTGCAAAATAAGTTTTTCATTTTTTGGTAAGAAAATTTGCTGTGTTAAGATTTCTACTTTTTAAATTTTCTCATTTTTGAGTGTGGATTTTCTGTGAATAGTGCTCAGCCTGGTAATGTTGACATAACTTATATTCATTTAACAGCAACAGTGTCACTGCTCAATAAACATAGTGCTTTATCATCTAACTCAATAATAATCCATCCATACTATACTGTGACTTAAAAGTACAACACTTTTAAGTTTACTTTATCTCTTGTGCACCATGTATATACTCATAATAAAAACAATATTGCTGAGGATATAGCTCAGTGGTAGAATGGTTGCTTAGCACACACAAGGCCCTGGGTTCAATCCTCAGCACCACCACCGACAAAAAAATTGCTGTATAACAATATATGTGGCACTCTGTATGCTGTCAAGTTATAACTGAGTTATGGAGACTGTAGTGTGCAGACCAGAAGTATGAAGCAATGAGAGCACCACAAAGTCTCTGTGCAATTTACTCAAATCTGTTGCTTTAACATGGAAGCAGTCATATCATTATGTATGTGAATAAGTATACCTGTGTTCCAATAAAACTTTAACAGATACTGAAATCTGAATTTCACAAAATTTTTACATAATTCATCTGATTTTTAATTTTTTCAAATTACTAAAAAAATATTAAAACCAATTTTAGCTTATGTGCTATACAAAAACAGGAGCAGGCCAGAGGCCATAGTCTGTGATCCACTGCTCTAAACAGCTACAGTCATAGGAATTACATTTCTTCAATTTCAATTTCCTCAAAATTCTTTTTGTATATACCCATTTCTTCATTTTTCCCATAATGACACTATCCACTTACTATTTCAACTGTCACATTTTTGTGAATGACTTTTTTTTTTTTTAAGTCAGGTGCTTGTGGCTCATGCCTGTAATCCTAATCCTAGCTACCCGAGAGGCTGAGATTGGGAGGACTGAGGTTTGAGGCCAGGTTGGGCAAATAGTTCTCAAGACCCCATCTCCAATTAACACAGCAAAATGGACTGGTGGTACAACTCAAGCGACAGAACATCTGCTTTACAAGTGGGAAGGCCTGAGCACAAACCCCAGTCACACACACACAAATTTAAAACCTCTTTCTTAAGATCCTATCGTTTTATTTATTTATTTTGATGGTAATGGAATTTGAACTCAAGGCTTTGTACTTTCTAGGCAAGGGTTCTACTCCTTTAGCTACACCCCTACACCCTTTTTTGCCTTAGTTATTTTTCAGATAGGGTCTTCTGCTTTTTGTCTAGGATTGACCTGGATGAGAATCCTACCCATGCCTCCTGCAATAGCTAGTATGGCATTACAGTTGTGCAACACCATGCCTGGCCTGTTCTGACATTTTTTTTTTTTTTTTGGTGGTACTGGGGTTTGAACTCAGGGCCTCATGCTTGCTAAGTAGATGCTGTACTGTTCCATTTCAATGTCCTAATGGAACATCAAAATCAATATAACCCCAACCTCTGTATTCTTCCCCCTTCATTTCCTGCTACTCTTTGCTACTACCATACTGGCCTCCTTGCTGTTTATATGACACACCAGAAACTCTGCCACTTAAATACCTTTACAATTCTGCTATTCCATAGGCTTTAAACACTTTTCTCTCAAATAGCTGGAGGGCTTTTCCTTTTGGGAAGCCTTTTCTGACTGTGTATATCACTGCAACCCCTCTTCTTCCCCCAGATACTCACCAATGTTCTTTCCTGTTTTATTGTTTTTTCCCATATTACTTATTAGTATCTTCAGACTTACTATATATTTTACTTGTTCACTGTCTCCTCCCACAACGGGGGAGATTTTTAAATTTTGTTTTATTCATTGTTTTATCCCTATCTTCTAGAACCATGATTGGCATGCATTAGGCACTCAGAAAATATTTGTTGAATTAATGGTTAAGACATATCCCTAACAACCCAAATTTAAGTTTAGGGTATTTTGATCCCTTCTTTCCATTTATGTACCCCATCTAACCAGTGGCTAAATCCACTGACTGTCTATGAATCCTGCTTCTTGTATACTCTGATTTGGGCTTTCATTATCTCTCATCCAATCTAATGCAGAATCGTTAGAATTGATATTCCCAAATTAATATCAAGCACCTTCTATCTGCCAAGCAGGTTATTAGATATTGGGAATATAAAGGAGAACAGACTCCAAATCCCATATGAATCTTACCATCCAATAGCAACTTATTTTTTTCCCACTGATTTTTAGCACTGGGCAATCTGAACTCTCTTCCTCTCTTTTTTTGTAGTATTGGGTTTTGAACTCTGGGCCTCACACTTGCTAGGCAGGAGCTCTACCATTTGAGCCATATTTCCAGCCCTTTTTGCTTCAGTTATTTTGGAAACAGGGTTCACTTTATGCCCAGGGTGGCCTGGACCTGGGTCCTCCTGTTTTTGCTTCCCCACACAGCTAAGAGGACAGGTGCACACCACTGCACCCAGCCATCGACTGAGAAATGGTCCTGTGAACGTTTTGCCTGGGCTGGCCTCAAACCAGGATCCTCCTGATTTCTGACTCACAAATAGTTAGGATTACAGGTGTTAGCCACCATGCTCAGCTTTGTTTTTTTTTTTTTTTTTTTTGAGACAGTCTTACTGCGTAGCTCAGGCTGGCCTTAAATTTTTGATCTGCCTTAGTCTCAAAAGTACTGGAATTACAGGCGTGTAACACTACTCCTGGCTAACCTATCTATCCTTGAGGTTTCAGATTGTTATATGGTTTCTAAATCTGTTCCCTTATTCTTACCTGTTACTTCATCATTGTGGGTAGACAGAAGTTTCCAGATGAGATACGGACCACCAAGGATAACAGCAAAGAACAAGAATATTGGCCAAGATTTTGCTGAGTTAGCTCCTTGGTCCTCAGCACCAAGGCAAGCCACAGTTCCTTCACTTTCTGCCCACAGGTCTTCATTCTCAGAGCCTCTTCTTAAACCCATCATCCACTGTATCCGTCTATAAAGATATCTTATAGTCCTAACTAATGCAAAAGCTGAAAAAACCTTTGTAAAGTGTATTTTTAATCGGGAAAAGTGATTTGCTACATCCAATACAGCCCTGAAGCTGTTATAGACAGCTGAAAAGGTAGCATCCATCATCATACTAACAGAGGCAAATGCATGCACAATACTTTCAATGGACTGAAATGCACCTCTGCTGCTTTCTTCAGCTTGCTGAACAAATCTACTAGGTGGAAGATCATCTATACGGAGGCGGTTAAAGCCCAGCCCATTATATCCATAACTATAAGGGCTATAGCTTCCATAAAATGAATTTCCATAAGCACCATAGCCAGAAGAAAATGAACTGTAAGCAGGTCTGAAAGTGTTCACACTGCTGCTCCCAGTCTGCTGGGATGGCCTTGGGAGAATAGGTGGGGGCACTCTAGTAAGTGTTGGTTGTCCAGGTCTTGTCAACAAAGTAGGACCCAAGTCAGCAGATCTAAAATCAAAAAAGATTCAAAAGTTACTTTTTCTTTCTTTTCTCCTTTTATTTCATCATTTTTACATTTACTTACATGTGTATAAATTGTGCCACTCTCCCCCTCCCCCCCAAAGTTATTTAAGCACACAATAAACTCAATAAATCTTTTGTTAAATCCAGTAATTTCTGTTCTAGAGTTTCTTTTCCTTTGCTTTTTTAAAATTCAGTGCTGGGGATTGAACTCAAGAATGTTAGGCAAGTGCTCAACCAACTGAGCTATAATCCCAACCACTACTTTTCCTTTTCCTCTTGTTCTTTGGCATTACTGGGGGTTTGAACTCAGGGTTTGCTAAGCAGGCACTCTACCACCTGACCCATGCTCACAGCCAGCCATTTTAAACAGTGAAACCATCATAATAAATGTGAAAAACCCAGCACTAAAGAAACTGTGAAATGGACATCTGTTTACAGCATGCATGGTGAAATAAGCCGCCTGAGTGTTACTTTGTTCAACTTCAGTCCAGAGATGATGATTCAGATCTTTACTAGTCCTATGTATGTCCACGAATGACTGTAAAAGTACTACAAGTACTGTATTTGGGATTACAAATAAACTTTGTTGAGTAGGCCAACTTGCAAATATGGACTCCACAAATCACAAGGCTTTCTAGTAAACAGGCTTATGTAGTATATAGTATTTTGTGATTGGTTTCTTTCACTTAGCATGTATCTAAGGTTCACCCTCAAATTCAATTGTAGCACGCATCAGTTCAGGGTAACTATCCCTTTACCTAAAATATCTGAGAGTAGAAGTGCTTCAGATTTCAGATGTTTTTGCATTTTGGATTATTTGCATAATAATGAGATCTCTTGGGGGATGAGACTCAAATCTCAGTATGGAATTCATTTTTGTCTCACATACACTTTCACTTACACAGACACACAAGCTGATAGTAATTTCATAAAAAAATTTTAGTGCTATTTTATCCATCCATTCATCCATCCATACAGGGCTTTAATGTAGCACAGGCTGACCTCAAACTTGAGGTCCTCCTGCCTCAGATCCTGAGTATTGGAATTACAAGGCATGTGCCAAATTGCCTGGCTGTGTGCCTGCATTTTGACTGCAACTCATCATATGAGGTCAAAAGTGGAATTTTCTACTTGTGGCATTGTGTTAGTTCTCAAGAAATTTCAGATTTTGGAGCATTTTGTATTGGAGACATTCACTTTGTACTTCATTATTACCAAATTATATTTATCCATATCACCTTTGTAGAAACTGCCAGATTAGTTTTCAAAACAGCTGCACTGTTTTACATCCCATCAGCAGTGTATAAAGGTTCCAATTTCTTGTCAACCTTTACCATTTCTATTATGGCCATCTTAGTGGGTGAAAAGTGGTATCCTGTGATTTTGATTCACATTTCTCTGAAGACTAATAACACTGGCCTTCGTGTTATTTGTTTGTTTGCTTGGTGGTACGAGTTTGAACCTAGGGCCTTGTGCTTTTCTAGTCAGGCACTCTACCTCTTGAGCCATGTCTCCAGCATTGTTGGCCGTTTAAAATCTTACTGGGAGAAATACTTATACAGATATATCACTTTTTGACCTTTTTTGCTAAGATTATTATTGTCTTTTTATTAATTATCTTTAATATTGAGCTGGAAGAGCCAAAATATCTTTTAAAATTGTTTTTTGAATATAAATTCAATTAAAGTTCACTCCTTGCATTTGATTGTTTCTTTATTGTTTTAAACTAGAATAATTACATTTTTAAAAATGTTCCAAATGTTTTTGAAGAGTTCACCCAGTTTTTTTCTTAGAACGACCCAAATTCTGGATTTTTGTTTCCCAAAATGGTTAACATGTACCTCTATCCTCTACATTTCCAATTAAACTAAGATTGTGTCCAAAGGTTCCATAAGAACCAGATTCAATATTTTTGTTAAGAGTAATTCATAGGTGATGTTTACTTCACATTATACTACATTGGGAGAAACATAAAGGCAGACTGAGACTGCCTTTATTTGTGAGGCTGTTTGATTATTTGCTTAAGGTGATGACTCATGTTTCCACTGAAATAAAACTTTCCTTTTGTATTGTGCATAATATACGGGATGACACTTTGGTCCCACGTAAGTATCTTATTTACTAGCAACTGTTCAACTGATGTTTAACATTCATTCATGATCCTTGCCTAACTCAAATCTTATATATGTGTCCTCAAAATGGATGAGCTCAGCACATTCAGGGTAGTATGGCTATAGAATGTAATTGCAAAATGGTAATGTTCTAATCCAGACTAAACTAACTTAGCCTTGCATGATAATATTATAAATAAGCTACTAGAAATCTTGTTTTATTTATATTTTTTACTGAATCAAAAATTAAAAAAAGGGATCAATGTTTTTTGGAGATAGGGTATTGCTTCTTGCCCAGGCTGCTCTGAACCTCAATCCTCCTGTTTGAGACTTCCCACCAATGCTGGAATGACAGGCACATGCCACCATACCCAGCATTTTCATGTTGAGATGGAGTCTTGCAAACTTTTTTGCCTGGGCTGACTTGGAACCATGATCCTCCTGATCTCTAGTATAGCTTGGGATGACAGGCACTAACCATTTTGCCCAGATATTGGTTGAGGCAGGGTCTCATAAATTTTTGTGCTGGCTGGCTTTGAACAGAGATTCTCCCAGTCTCAGTCTTCCAAGTAGCTAGGATTATAGATGTGAGCCACTGGCGCCTGGCTTCGGAACAAAACTTTTAAAAAGCCAGTTGACTGCCAAATAGTATAGCACATTCAGGTTTTGATAAAGCAGTTCTGCTCCAAAGTAAAAGCAATTATAGAGAAATTATAAAGAAAACCACTAACCTAGATTTAATACAAGATAAACATATGTATGGAACAGAAATTAAATAAAAATGTAAAATGTGAGGAGTCTGAAGCTACAGGTCTTCTCAATTCTGGGTTGTGAATCAAGCAGTGAGTCAGGACTCAGGCTATTAGGAAATAAAGAAAAACAAAAGCACTCCACTCAAATGGAACTAGTTCATAATGTGAGGCCATGAGCCAGGACATACCACTTGACTCCTAAAAAGAGGTTATAAAATTTGCTGCCTTGCTACTGAGGGTTTAAGATTTTCACAAAGTTCAGCTCTAAGAAAGGGGATGGACTCTGATATGCCTTAAAGCCAGGAAATGAAATAAGTTAACTTCTACAGACTCAGTGACAATCTGTGATATCCTTAGTCTAACCCACCTGATTTTCACTTGGGGTTTGGTGCTGGGGGAACAGGTAATGGCAACAGGAAACCTACTAGACAGAAAGAAGGAAATATGAAAGAACGAAAGGAGAGAAAACAGAACTCTAAAATTCCTACTCAAAATGAGTTTATAAAAATGACACAAAAGCTAGGGGCATAACTTGAGCTTAACAAGTGCTGGGGTAGAGCACTTGTCAGCAAGGATAAGACCCTGAGTTTGATCTCTAGCATGGGGGAGGAGGCATGCAAACATGAAGTACAAACATCAAGAAACAAGGCCAGGCCTCCTGGTGCTTACCACAGACTGTTCTTACAGTGACTGCATAAAAAGAGGAAGCAAAGTAAACCTACTCCATATACACCTTAGCCTAGACCCTGTGCCTGGTCTTATTGTGAATGGGGAGAAATGGGGTGGGAGTGGGAGGGGAAAGCAACAAAGCCAACAAAAATCAGTAAGAATAAAAGTTAATTCAAGGAAAAACTATTTTAGTTAATAGCTCAGCAAAGATTGTAGATATATTTGAAATGATCAAGAGATAAAGCAGTATCATCTGTGAAAAATCAAATGAAATAAAAACCTATAAATATGAAAAAAATCAAATGAATAAAAAAATTCTACAAGACATGATGCCCATAGCCACAAGGGCTAACTTGCAACTTTGAGACAAGAAAATCAATTGCTATACATAAGGAGCAGAATAGAAATTTAGGGATTTCACTTTAAGTAATGACAATTTAGGTAATCAGACTAACCCTCCAACTGAAAACAAATAGAAAAGCTACGGGAAAAAAAAATTAAAAAAAACACCTGCTTAAATTATTAGAAAACAAGGCACCAAGGAATTTTGGAGTTAAGATCAAGAAGGAAACAAATTCATAGAGCCCAACATTTTGAAATGTTTCCCTAGGGACTGAGGCCAATTCAGGAGATGGCTGACAGAATAAGAAACTACAGAACTTAACAGATTCCCTGGACAAAGGTGACAAACTAGAGTTCAGAGCCTAGAGAGAAGGGCTATAGTAAACTCTCATCCTTCAGACTGTGACCTTAAAGGGCTACATGCAGGGAATAAGGGTGAAAACGGTAACTAGCCCTGGTAAGAAAACCAGTTTCAAGTAAACTCAATCCTTGATTGGATTAAGGTGATCCTAGATTGCTAGCAGTCTGAGGGTCTGGCCAAAGTAAATCTCTGGAGGAAGATATAGCCCAAGGCCTCAGGTCACCTTAAATTACTATATACAATGTCTAGCTCTCATTTAAAAATAATTGGGTTGATATGATGACAAAGATTACATGTTCTTAAAAAAAAAAGAGCAGTATCAGAAAACACAAAGAGCTCCATAGGAGATCCAGAAAAGGGGTTATTAGACAGATTTTAAACTATGCTTAATGTATTTAAAAAATGACTGGAATTTTTTTCAGCACAGAATAAAAACTATATAGCAAAACCAAATGGAAATTCTAAAATTAAAAAAACAAAACCCTCTTCCCTCAAACTATGAACTCAACGATTGCTTTAATAGGATACAAGGTTTATAAAGAAATATAAGGAGTTGGGGTCCTGGCTCAAATGGTAGAGCTCCTGCCTAGCAAGCCAGAGGCCCTGAGTACAAACCCCAGTATCACCACAAAAAAAGAAATGCAGGGCATATATAATTTCAGGTAAAGGAGTAAAGAGACAATAGGAAGAAGCAATATTTGAAGAGATAATGGCTGAAATGTTTCTGAAATTAACAAAAGGCAACAAAGTCAGATTAAAGTATTCTTATGAATCCTACCCCAAGAAAATACAGAGAAAATCACATTGAGGCCCAACAAAGTGTAACTGTTGAAAACCAAAAACCAAAGAGAAAATCTTAAAAGCAGCCAGACCTAGTGTGTGTGTTTGTGTGTGAATTCTTTTTAAATGCAAGAAAATAAGAAAGCTAACTGACACTGTCAGAAAACTGACAATAAAAGAAGGAAGCCAGGAGAAATTTAAGTCCCTTGATGACAACATTAAGACAGCAGATCTTTAGACTTCTTGCTAACTAAACAATAAATATCTTTATAGTTCAAAGTGCAGTAAGATAATGTTACTTGTAGTAGAAACTATTCCTGATAATCCTGATACAATATTTAATAGGAGTAGAGATGGGAAAGACCAGAACTCAAACAATACATAAAGATTTTACTGGTTAGGATTTTTCTGAATAAAGAAAAACACAAGTCTTTAAACACTATGGCTATTGAGGAAGGAAGAAAAACAGTATGTTTTTTAATACAAACACAGCCTAATAAAACTACAGAGGAACAAAGTACCAGATAAAATCGTAAAGGCTACTAAGGAGAATACTATCTACCTATAAAGGCAGAAAAATCACAAATTTTTCAATAGAAGTTTCTCAAATTATAAAGCTTTGATACAAAACCAGAGTAGTGTAGTACAGAGAAGGAAAATTTCAATTTTACCTAGGAACACAAACACACAGATCTCAAAATAATCTAATAGAATATGGGATTGAATTCTAAAACATCACAACTAAGCAGAATTCATTCACAAATGCAGGGTAATTCAACATTAGAAAGTTAATGCAATAACTTCCATATTAAAGGTAAAACATAATCTTAACAGATGTAGAAAAATCATTCATAGAATTTAGTAATAATAATAATCTGAGTAAGGTAGAGAGAAGTTGGACAGAATACCTACCAAAACCAAAAAGCAAAGTTCATACTCAGAGTGAGACTTTAGAAGCTTCTAATGAAAATCAATACCAACATAAGGATGCTGACTAACTCTATTGGCTTATTTGTAAGCAACAGAATTGTCTACATAGAACTCAAAAGAATTTCAATCAAACCATTAGAATGTTATGCTACACACAGTATTTATAGTTAAAAAACAAAATAGTATTCACACATGCAAGTTAATAACCAACTAGGAAATGTAAAAAGGAGAAAAAGAGCCTACTTACAACAGCAGCAACATATATATACACATATCTATCTATCTATCTATCTATCTATCTATCTATATGAGAAAGCTTAATGAAGATAATTATAAAACATTCATTAAGGCAAAAAACAAAATTTCTTGCCAATTGTGGCTTATGCAATATTCATGGATGGACAGATTTGATTATCATAGTTCCAATAAAAATCCTAGGAAGTGTAACAACAGCAGTTTTAAAGAACAGCAATGGGTGGAGACTCTTGACATAATATACATAAAAACTTAATAGCTGGTTATGGTGCACTAGCTTTTATTCCCAGCTACTTAAAAAGGCTGAGGCAGGAGGATCCCTTGACTCAGGAGTTTGGGGCCAGTCTGGGCAACATAGGGAGATGGAGACCCTTCTTTTTTTTAAATGAGTAAAGAGAATTTACTGAGATAGAAGAGTAGCAAAGAGGACAGTTCCCAGAGCTGGGGGGGTGGGGGGGTGTCCCAAGAGAGGATGCCCAGGAGACCCTATGTAAAGAAAAAAATATTGTAGTCCCTGCCTAGCACACAGAGGCCCTGAGTTCAATCCCCAGTACCATCAAAAATAAATGGTAAAAAAGAAAAAATATTATAAAGCTCTGTAATTGAGACAGTGTGATTCTGTTAACAAACAGGTTAACAGAATAAGTCACAAAGCCCTCAAAACAGAACCACACTCAGTACCATCAAAAATAAGTAAACGAGAAAAAAGAAAAAACATTATAAAGTTCTGTAATTGAGACAGTGTGATTCTAACAAAAGGACAAAAAGGTTAACAGAGTAAGTCACAAAGTCCCCCAAAACAGAACCACAAATTTAAGAAAACAGGATGTGAGATAGATGGCATTATAAACTAGGGGTGGACTCAACTAGTCTATAAACAGTGCTGGGACGGTTATCCACATGGAAAGAAGATTGTCTATATTGATTTTTGTACATCAAACTCAATTTCAGGTGCATTAAAGATCTGAAGGTGGGCCAGGCACCAGTGGCTCCCACCTGTAATCCTAGCTACTCAGGGGGCAGAGATCAGGAGGATCGAAGTTTGAAGCCAGCCTGGGCAAATAGTTTGGGAGACCCTATCTTAAAAAATACCCATCACAAACAGGGCTGTTAGAATGGCTCAAATGGTAGAGCACCTGCCTAGCAAATGTAATGGTCCTGAGTTCAAACCCCAGTCCTCCTCATCACCCCCCCAAAAAAGATCTGAATGTGAAAACCAGAACATTTAAAAGAAAATACAGAGAAAAAATTTTTTTTTCCTGATCTAGGTATAAGTCTTTTCTTTATCCAAGACCAAAAGCACAAACAATAAACTGTTGGAAGTTTTGGTTATAATAAAATTTTAAAAACTGAACATAAGTGTAAAGAAGACAAATCACAGATCGAAAAATATTAGCAAAACACAGAAACAATAAAGCACTCCGACGAATTGCTAAGGAAAAGACAAAGTAAATGGCATTGTAGGAAGCAGAAAACCACATATATATATATATATATAATAATACATAAGAATACACGTTGTTTAGCATGTTTTAAATCTTCAGGTATAAAATATACATAACAAACCTAAGTAATAAAGACTTTTTGTGGATACACCAAACAAGGGGAGTAGTTACCACAGGAAAAAGGTTTAACTACTTTTCTAATTTTTTAAAAAATCTGATGCCATTCTGGCAAATATTACTACTTCTTAAAGGTGAAAAGGTGAATACATAGGGAATTCTACCAGTGTCTATGTGTTTTAAAAAATATTTCAAATGAAAATAGTGAAAAAAGTCAATTTTACATAACCAGAACTTTAACAAATGCAAAAATAAAACCTCTCTTCCAACAATCTAAATGGAAAAAAAAACAAAACAAAACAGAATCACGCATTAAAATGGTGACCGGAGCCCTGGCTTAACAGGGTAATTAAAACTTATTAGTTGTTGTATATCTATCATTATTAAGTAGTTACGGTGATAACGCATTTTAGCGTTTAAATAAAAGATTTCAGAACACAGCAGAAACACGTTCCACTGTATGGGGGGCGGGGAGGAGGTTTATGAGTCAGGAAAATCTACAAATAGTACATTAGAAATCACACCTCCAGACTTAAGATGTCCATCTACCTAAAAGAAAACACACGAGTTGGTGAAACTCTTCTACTTCTGTACGTTTTAACCTTTTTTCAAGTTGCAGATCCATTTGTTACCAATTAAAAATAAAGCAAACCAACACAACTATCGCCTTTGGAAAAGCACACTACTGTGCACACCAAGGCCATCCTCTTAGCGTTGCTTCGTCAACCTCCAACCGACACAGTAGTGTTGGGCTGGAAAAGACGCCAAAGGTGCGGGCTTGGGTTCCCGTTGCGTAAAAGCGACATGCTGGGCTGTCGCCAACTTCGTGGGAGGGAACGAACAGCTATCAATAACAAGTTTTGCTCCACATTGATGTCCGGCTGGCGGACGCCGCTCGCCAAAGCTACAGATCGGGTGCCAAGGTCCTACAAGGGCTACGGGGGCCGCCGATACTGGGGTGGGGAGGCAGGAAGCCGCCCCTTTTCTTTCTAACACCCGCATTCAGGAGCGCCGGGGAACAAGTCGCTGGTAGACTGGAAATCGATGTCAGACCCGGAAACTAGCTCTGTACACGCTGGGGTCCCAAACTGCCCTCACTCCGATCTAGAATTGGGGGTGCTGAATGAAAAGCGGAGGGGGGGATGGGAAGAGGAGACGTCTTCCCGCAATAACGGCCTTAACCGCCTACTGTAAAGTGCCGGTTTCGGCCCACTCATCTCGCAGCCTTAAGAATCTCACACTCACTGGAAAGTAGGGCCGGGTCCCGGCCCGGCCCCCGGAATTCGACGGGTTTCCCAGGGTTTTGGGGGAGGCGGCGGCTGGGAAGCCATCTCTCCGCCTCCTCTCAGCTCCGGCTTCTAGCCGGCACGGTCCAGGCCCTTGGTACACAAGCCCCTCACGTGCCAGGCACAACAAGCAGAACATCGAGCTCTCAACCCCCGCCTACGCCTCCAAGTCCGGATTGGGCTGGAGGTGCAGTGTCGCCTGGGACTAGAGGGCGAGAGGACGCCAATAATTCGGGGGAGGAGGAGGGCCTGAGTGAGTGCTCTCTTTAGTTACTCCAAGAAAGAGTTTCCATTGGAAACTTCAGAGTTAATTCTCATCGATATTTCTGGTTGCGGCTAGTATGGCCTAGACACCAAACCCCACCGGGGCTTGTCTAGAAGGAGACCACTCCGGCGCGAAGTAATGCCCCACCCCACCAACTCTTGCATTCGCACGGGAGGGGGCGTGTGAGATTGCAAACCAGCGGTTTTACAGATTTCCCTGCAAATAAGCAAAAGTAAGTTGGCTCGTTCCTCTCTAAAGAGGCCTGGTACTTTTGTTCTAAGGCTTTTGTTTCCTTGGGGAATGGAATTGCCAAGCGCGATTAGGTGCGTTGTCTTTATTCTTCCCCGTTCCGGGTGAGGGTCGTAAGGGGTTAAATCTTAAAGCTTCAGCATCTTGGGAGAAGGTAAGGCGGGGAGGTCTGGGGTGGGGGTTGCTCACTAAGTGCGGGAGAGATGTACCTGGAGGAAGTCGTTTTGGGAGTCGGTTTTTCTCTTGCAGGAGCCGCCTTGTTACCCATGAGGAGTAAGTGGGAAGTTTCTTGGATCTGAGCAAAAATGGTAAGGTCTTGCTTGATCAAATCAGAGACTCGAGGTTAGACTTTGGGATGAACTTTCCTGGAGCCCAGGGTAGATTCTATAGCTGAGTATATCAGTAGCCCATTGATGTTGTAAGCACCTCCTTGCCTGGAAGTCCACGTTCCACGTTCCCATCCCTCAAAGCCACGGGACGAATGACACCCGTGTCATTCGAGATCTCACATGCGAGATTCTGGTCATTTTGGTGTTTTTTATTCTCATGTTCTGCACCTTCTCTCCTTCCTGATGAATGTTTTTTGTAATTATCCAAGAGGTCCTTCCTTTCCATTAATTCAGACTGGCCTAGAAGTGGCCGGCATGTGGAGAGGGATTCAAACCCCGTCGAGATCCTGACACTCGGGAGGCACTTCTGTTGCCATTTTTCCAAAGTTCTTTCTGTTAAAAGCAACAACGACAACAAAACACGTAAACAAAAAGCAAAAGTCTTACCAAAGGCAACTAACAGTGGAAAACTTAGTGTGAGATGCATTTCTAGGATTTGCTCTCAAACAAGGTCTAACAGGGGACAACTGTTTTCTTTGTAGGAAATCATGTCATTTCTATTAAATCAAGATGAAACGACCAAATTGAAAGCATCTTTCCTCCTTTTAATGTAAACGTGCTCAAGCAGTCAGTAGGTTATCATTAGGTGAAAGTGGTGTTGAGAGTGCTATAAATACATAGCTCAATTATTAACACTTAAGATGTGGTTTTGTTTTGTTTTAGACTTCTTCAGGTTAAGGACAGGAAGTTTTGCAATTCTTAACAGGTTTGGGAACTTCTCAGAGCCAGGAGATTGAAATGTAATTTCTTGGCGTGCTACCTTTATTCTAGGTAACCTATTGGAGAAATAATATTCAGTCTTGAAATCAAAGGAAAGGGAGCATTAATTTGAAGGTAGCTATCTAAGTCCTTGGGAAAAGCTTCACTACAGAGTATCCTTATAGAGTAGTTATGGTGGCTTTTTTTTTTTAATCGGAGAAGGATGTATTTGTTTTTCCTTTTGAGTTAAAGGTTAATTCTGCATTAAATTGAATCCTTGACCTTAGCTAATGGAAAGGAGTAGAAAAAACAACCTGATGGGTGAGACAGAAATTATTTCTGTGCAAGGGAATGCACTTAAATGCTTATTTTCAGCTTCTCACAGAATCCCAGTCTCGTCTCAGAATTAAACAGACAGATTCAGATAATTTAAATAATAACTTGACCAGACAGAGATTCATTTGGGTGTTCGCCCCATAATCTAAGTACTTTGGTGAAAATACTCTGGAGCCCAGATTTATTTAGGCAATCCTGGTGTTTCCCAATCTTGGTGTCTGAAAGCTGCACTATTGTGTCCAGACAAGCTTGACTCACTTTTCTTCCTCTCCTTGGTAATTCATGTATTCACCTGAATTAGAACATTGCCAAAGGCCATCTGTCAGTTTTTATTTTTTCCTCTATAGTTGTGTCTGCTGAGCTGATTTTTATGGTAAAGAGTTCTGTATATCTGTCTTCCTCATTATTTTGTGTCAAGGATCTCCTTGATTAGTGGCCACATACATTCAGAAACATGGAAATAAATAGTGAGTTTTAAAGGGATGGAAAACAGACTAAATATAAGACTCACTTCTTTATAGTAAGCTGTTGTTAAGAGCTTCATTCTCTCATTAATTTTAAGCAAGTATATTTGAATTATGAAATTGCACAAATTGAGAAGTGCTACTCTTTTATCTTTATGACCCAGTTATACCACTCCACAACTTTGCCATGCAATATTGTTTATAAAATATTGCTAGCTAGTTATTTTAAAGTAAATATGGACTGATTGACTAATCATATCTTTTTTTGCCAAATATGCAGTGATCGGGTAATTTGAATTTTTAGTACCCTTCTTTCCTGGCAACTGGAAATTTGTATCAGATTCCCCTTTTCTCTATCTAGTATTTTTTTCTATGTGAGTGTATTCAAATTTCAAAAATTGGCAACATTTTAGGCAAATATTTACTCTAAAATATTTTGCACTTTTTTTTGCTGGAAGTTTTACTTTTGGATGCAATTTTTTTCTCATTTAACTAATAGTTGTAAATTGAATTATATCAACAGATTAAGTTGATTTTTTTAGGGACCTTACTGATCTGTTTGGTTTCATATGTGATTGCAAAGCTGTCATTAAGGCTAACCAAGAATTATATAATGTAACTGGTCTAAATTTTTTCCAGCAAACTCATTTTTAATTTTTAATAGGAAGAGTTTAATGAATTAGCTACTGTCTTCTTAATTCTGAATGGTGTAAAATTAAAAGTATGAGTTCACACTTGTTTTCCTTAGTATTTTCAGATGCAACCACTATTTTTATTACTTTTATTACTGTGGTTTGATCTCAGGGTCTTGAGCTTGCTAGGCAGTCAGTCACTCTACCACTTGAGTCACTCTGTAGTCCTTACTTTGGTTATTTTTGAGATAGGGATTTGTGTTTATACCCGGACTGTCCTGGATAAAGATTCTCCTGTTTATGCTTCCCTGGTAGTGTGCAGCCACTATGCCCAGTTTTTGTTGATTGAAATGGAGTCTGTCACACTTTTTGCCTGGGCTGGCCTCAAACTTTGACCTGGGATCTGTGGGATCTGAGTAGCTTGGATTACAGGTGTGAGCCACCACACCCAGCTACTTTTGTTTTCTTTTGATTTGACTTGGTTATATTGATGCACTTTATCATAATCCAGAATACTAAAATCCTTGACAATTAGATGCCTTTACTTAATCCATCTTTTTTTTTTTTTTGAGATAGGATCTCACAGGGCTGGGTGGCATGGCTTAAGTGGTAGAGCACTGGCCTAGCAAGAACAAGGCCCTGAGTTCAAAGTGTAGTACTGTTGAGAGAGAGAGAGATTGAGAGAGAAAGAGAGAGAGAGAAAAGGGTATGTGTGGAGATCTCACTTTCTGGAAACATCGTATCCTAAAATGATGTTTCTGCCTTAGGCTCCCCAGTAAGTGCAGCTATAGGTTAGTGCCATTGCACTTGCTACTTAACCCATCTCCTAAACTTCCTTCAAGTTCTTATGTTAGACTGTGCATATAATGAAAAGGGCATTATTGAAGAGTACTAAGTAGTATTTTACAAATAAAAGCTAGTTTGCTTTGTTTTAAGACTAGTCAAGTGCAGTACTGAGAAAAGGGGAAAGTATAGAACAAGGAATTCAATCTGTAACTGGTTGTGAACAATCAATGGAGGTAGCTGAGTATCTTCGGACCAGCCTAAAAGCTAGTTTTTATTACTGAGGGTGATAACGTATCTGTGATAGAAAAACACAATTTTTCTTTTTTCTTTCTAGTTGTAATCATTTAGTATGTTTCCGCTGACTGAGGAAAACAAACCTGTGGCTCAGCTGTTGCTCAATTCTGGCACCTGTCCAAGATGTATCTTCAGACTCTGTGGTGTGGATGTTCATGTACCTTACAAACTTCCATACAAGGTATTTTAAGTTTTTAAATTAACAAATGTTTTCTGTATTTTAAAATGAATATCTGTACCTTTGAGGGCAAGCAACCATAACTTGTCACTAAATATAAAAAACTATAATAAAATAATCATTGTTATGGTTATTTTGGAATTGTTATTATCTTAGAAATTAGTCTCAGGAATGTAAGTTGCTTTTTAAGAGTTTACACCTGTATCTAACATTTAGTGTAGGGAGGGATGTTTTTGGAGGAATTTCCTGGTACATCTGAACAGAGTATCACAAACCACTGCTTCTCATCAGTTATTAACAAGGTACAACAGGAAGGGAGTTCTTCTGTTAAGTAGAAGCATTTGAGTTTGTTTTTTTCTTGCTCTGTATTACCATTTGTGTTTATTTATTTACTTATTATTGTGGTGCTGGGGATTGAACCCAGACCCTCACACATGTTGGGCAGTCTTCTATCACTGAGCCATTAGCCTACCGTTTGTTTTTATACCTATGCACAGTCACGTGTCTCTTAATGAAGGGGATATGTTCTGGGAAATGAGTCTTTAGACGATTTTGTGGTTATGTGAACACTAGACAGTATACTTAAAATAAGATGGTTACCATGTCCTAGGCAGTGTAGTCATAAGGGACCACCATTTGTAAATGTAGTCCATTGTTGACTGAAACATGCAGTGCATGACTGTATATGGAACTCTAGAAGTAAATGCTTATCATCGTTATTGCTGCTATTAGTAATAGCAAAAGTAATATTCAGAAATCTTTGACATTTATGGCAATGTACAGAGAGCTTCGTCATCTAATAAAATAGTTTCCCATAGTCAAGTATGGATTATGCCTGTAATCTCAGCTCCTTGGGAGGCAGAGGGTAGGAGGATTGTAGTTCAAGCCAGCCCAGGCAAAAAGTTGGCAAGACCCTATCTCAAAGAAGAAGTGTGGCTTCGTGTCACACATCTGAATGCCCAGCTATTCTGGAGGCAGAGATAGGATCCATTGGAGGCCAGCCCCAGGCAAAAGTGAGACCCTACATGAAAAATAAACTGAAACAAAAAGGTCTGAGGATGAGGCTCCAGTGGTAGAGTGAAAGTCTGATCTCAAGCCCCAGTAACCACCAAAAATATATGTGTAAATATAACATTTGTGAAAAATGTTTGATTCTTGTAGTGACATTTCTTTTTAATATCTGATAGTAATTATATACATATGTATTTATATTATATAAATATATATATTATATATTATATAAATATATAATTATATAAATATATAATTATATATTATATATATTTACATAAATATATAATTATATATTATATAAATATATAATTATATATTATATATATTTACATAAATATATATATTTATATATTATATAAATATATATAAACACATACACTCAATTTTATTTTTAAAATTGCCTGGGAATCAGCAATAACTATCATTTTCCTATATAATTAGTTGCTTTTATTTTTGACATATTAATAATACCCAGTATTCACTTAGCATTTCTTTATGTCAAGCTCTCATATAATCCTCATAATAACAATCTGTTAGGTGAGAATAGATTATGATTGTCCCTATTTTCAGATGAAAATACTGAGACACAAGGAGGTTAAACAACCTGCCTAAAGTTAAAAAACTATTAAGTGAGCAAGCTAAGATTTGAACAGTGTCTGACTCCAAAGGCTAGGATTTGGAGCTAGAAGACATGAATTTGAATCCCAGTTCTTCCACTTTATAGCTTCAGTTTATTCGTCTATAAATGGGAATGATAACATCTACCTCACAATATTTTAAGGAACAATATCCAATCAAGTCTGTGAAAACAGGCTTTGAAATCTGAAAGTGGTACATATGCATGATGGTTAATATACATGTTTAGATTCACATATATACAATGTGACTGCTATAAAATAATAAACTTGTTTTGTATAACCTTCCTTATACATTTTTCAGAGATATCATAACCTGTTATTCTATACATGTGCTGTAAGATTCCAAATGTGTATTATATAGAGACTGTATTATCAGATTTTCTTTGTGACATTTTATGTAAATAAATATATAAAAATGTCTGTAAACTATTTTTGAAATGTTCTTACATTTCAATCTGTTCCATTCATATAACTATATGTACATGTGTGTGTATATATGCTAACATTGAAGATATGAGGTAATAATAAACATTTGTGTGGACCATAATATACCTGTATGTGTATGTATTTATGAGTATTTCTTTGTTAAAATTGGAGAGCTGATGTCTCAATAAAATGAATTAAACTTGAGTAAAAAATTTTTTTCCCTTTGAATCAATAGAATATAATCTGAGTAAGTTTCAAAGGATATTTATTCAACAACTGAATAATAAAACCTGCCTATTTAAATACAGGAAAAGTCTGTGAATATTTAGATAGCAGACTATCAGAACTATAGAAATGGGTTCAAAAGAATGCCAGTTTTTGCATTCTACTACAAGGAATGACAGAAATTAGATGAACAAGTATATAGTAGAAGACGTGTTTAAATTAGTGCATATAAATAGTTTGTAATTGTGGTGCCATGTTTCAGCACTGCCAACATCTGTGTACACTGTTTATTAAATCGTCTCAAAATTATTTCACTTAATAGACTTGTACCAAACAAATACTGTATTTGTGAGGTTTTAGTTATTGTGAAGTTGTTAAATAATTTAGCAAGGATAGAAATTTAGTGTGTATTATTTTTTCTCTTTTCTTTTTTTCATGCTAGGGTTGGGGTTAGATTCCAGGGCCTCATGTATGCTAAGTAGGCACTCTACCACTGGCTATATCTCCAGCCCAGTTTGTACCATTATGTTTTAATGATTAGAATTGACGTTTTTACTGAAATTACCAAGTGAATGATCCTCACAATAGACCCCCAAACCAAATTAATAAATTTGTTAATGGAGCCTTTCTGCTTAAGATTTAGGATTTTAACTGTACTGATATATGGAACTCTTTTGGAAAAATATTCTAATATGCATAATAAGGGTTAGCTAAATTCTTAAATTCCCTAGAAAGCAAGTGCTAGCTAATAAAATAAATTGATGGCTCCAGAATTGATATAATCAACATCGTACAACTCTGTGATATGTTATAATTTACACTTGTATTTTCATGCTTCATCTTATCTAGAAAGCTTCAAGACATTGTAAAAGGGTTATTACTTTTTCTCTTACTAACTTTTCAGGAGTTGGTCAATGATCTACAGAAATTTTTGGAAACTGGAAAAGATGAATTAATTTTGGAAGTGCCAAACCCACCTCCCAAGAAAATTCGGCTGCAAGAACTAGAAGATGGGATTGATAACCTGAGTCAGAACGGAGAGGGCAGGATCTCTGTCACTGAAGATGGAAACATTGCTTCCAAGAACTCAAATTTGAGCGTATGCAATGTTTGCCTAGGAATTCTCCAAGAATTCTGTGAGAAAGAGTTTATTAAAAAGGTAAATAATCTGTTTCTTATTGTAGGTGCAACTATGGAGACATTCTCATGCTTAAGGCTTAGAATTCTAGTACAGAAAGGGACAGTGCCATTCATATCAATTTGTTGCACACCAATGGATCAATAAAACATTTTCTGATTTTTTTTTTACAACCAAAGCCTGCTATTCTTTGTATCAATATATCTGAAAATTAATGAAATATATATATGTATATATATATATTTAATCTATTTTAATCATGAATGCTATTCACTTGAAAAAAACAGAGCAGTTTTCCTTTTGCTATGTAACATAGCTAAGCTGTTAGAGAAAAGTTCTTAGTCATAGCTATTATTACCTAGAAAAGACAAGAGTTACAGCCTTGTAAAAAGTAAATGATTGATTGTGGGATTACCTTTTGTTTCCTGCTGTCAAGAGTTTATTTCAAGACACTTAAAAATTATGAGGTGACCTAATAGAAAGCTATTTTGATGCTCAACAGATTGTTCTGTAGGTGTCAGTCATGGCTGATTTCGTACCTTATGATATTAGTCTTCCAGGTCATAGTTAGCAAATATTTAATATCAAGATGTTTGTTAGAGTTCCCCACTTAAATGTGAAAAGTTTTTTGTTGTTTGTTTGTTTGTTTGTTCATAGCAGTGCTAGGGATTGAACTCAGGGCTTGGTACATGCTAGGCAAGCACTTTACTGCTGAGGTACATGCCCAGCTCCTAAATGTGAGAGTTTGGACATTTTGCAGTGTCATTTCCTGGATAGAAATTCATGTTGGGAAGATTAGAGTAGCATTTTCAGTAATTCTTGGAAATTTACATAATTGTGATACTTTTTTTAGGTGTGCCAAAAGGTTGAGGCTTCTGGGTTTGAATTCACCAACCTGGTATTTTCGGTTTCCTTCCCACCACAGCTTTCTGTAAGAGAGGTAAGTCATTTGTACATTTAAAGTATATGTGACATGGGGGCTCAATATAGTTCAGAGGTAGAGTGCCTGTGTAGCATGGACAACACATCACAATAACAAAACAAAACAAAACAAAAACATATCTGTGAAATGCATGTAGGAATTTCTAGCATGGATTTGGTATGCTAGAAATATTCCTTATGATAATATAGAAATGTATGCATGGTAATACAGAAATATTTCTTATGATAAAATAGAAGTGGTAATGTAAAAATATTCCTTACTGTATTAAGGGTACATTGTGACATTTACAAAAGGGCTTAAATATATTTACCCCCTTCACTAAAATTTTCACATTTTGTGTACTTATTGAATGATTTAAGCAATTTATAGCCACTAACTCCACCAATACTTGTTTAGTAAATGAATGAAAACAGAATTATTGCTTCAAATTAGTTTATTCTTCCCTGGACTGCCTTTGTTCATTCATCCATTCATTCATCTTTTTGTTAAGGATGGAGCCTGGGGCCTCACACATGTTGAGCTATACACACAACTCCTATGCATGTTTTTAAAAGATCCTCATTTAGGCCAGGTGTGATGGCACACATCTATAATCCCAGTGACTCAGGAGGTGGAGATTGGGAGAATCATGGATTGAGGCCAGTCCGGACAAAATGTTAGTGAGCCTCCCTACCCCCATCCCATCTCAAAAACAAGCTGGGTGTGAAAGTAAATAAATCCTCATTTAGTAGCAAATATTTATTGAACCTTAATTCTGTATAAGGCATGATAGAGAAAAAGATTTGACCAGAACTCCAGAGATCAGTTAAGAAAGATATGTGTGTTTTGTAATAGTCGTAGGTTAGGTCATTTCAATTATGATAAACCTTATTCTCTGGAATAAAATATAAAAGGTAGCACCTCTTCTAGCTAATGCTAAAAGGGAGAAATATAGCCTTTGGTTTATTTTTGTTAATATTGTTAAATGAAATATAATTTCATTTGGAATTGCTTTTGTAATTCCAAATTACAACTGTGGGTTCTAAACATATCCACTTCTATTTACGAGGTATCTTCTCTCTAGAATCCCAAAGCATCACCAGAACATCATGTCTTACACTATCACTCTCTTTTTTTATTTTATCTTTTCTTTTTTCTGATACTGGTGATTAAACCCAGGGCCTTGCACATGCTAGGCAAGTGCTCTACCTCTGAGCTACATCTCCAGTCCCCTTTACTTTCTTTGAGTATGTTTGTTAATTAGCCACAAGTAGGACAAAGATTGAATGAAGACTTATTAAAACTGGATAGAATGATAGAGAAGAGCTGGAAGTGAAAAAAGAACAGAATGACTTTAGATAATACCTGTTGATAACCAGGTAGCTGAGCAAATGGAAGAATAAATGGGTTGATGATATTCTGGAGTTGATAAACAGAGTCATTTTCTAGTCAATCATCAGAGTGTTTTTTGCTGATTGTTCACCTTTACGTCCAATTTTGGTAGAGAGAAACAGACTTCCAGAGGCTGAGTGACTCATAAGTGTTGCAATGTTTGAGTATCAAAAACAGTAATAAAAAGTGTATTTTCTAAATGTGGTTATGTATCTCATCACCGAACCTTTCCTCTCAGTTTATACTTCTAATTTTTTTGTTGTCTATTGTTATCATTCAAATAGTTTAATATTTACTGAGTACTATGAGGTATTTATGTTCTATACTAGAAATGTAAGATGGTTTTTAAAAAAAATTATTCTACTTAAGCTCTACTTTTTGTAACTGTTTTTAACTAGTAAGCTATTTAGTAGAAACATATGACTATTCCATTTATTGGAGAATTAATACATTTCTACAGTTTAGTGTGTTCAGTGTTTTATTGTTTTCATTTCCACGAGCAAGTAGCATTTTTATCCATTCAATAATAATAATTTTCCAAGAAATACATAGTTTCACATCCTAGATTTCTGGGGATGTGGTGTCACGCTTGCAGAAGGAGGAGAAGGAAAAACAGAAATGGGAGATTGCTACCTTTCTGTGTATTTACATAAATACATTTATATATTTATGTGACTGTTTTTAAAAACACAAAAAGTAGTATGACTGTCCTTATGAATCCCTGTGTAACTGTTGCCCAAATCCAGCAATTAAGTTTTCTGCAAACTTGAGATCAATTTCAAAAGAAATATAGGAGAGGTAAAGCCAAATGCCAATGGAAGAAGGAGGCTTAAGTCTGATAGAATAGCAACTAGAAAATTAAAGTGAGTAATGATAAAAGCTTGCAAGAATTGCTAAGGAAGATTTAGGATACTTAAAGTTATGTTTAGAGCAAAAAAAAAAAAAAAAAAAAAGAAAAAGTAGATGGATCTGCTGATGCATTATATAAAGAAAGCAGAACTCTGAAAATCCTACTTGCTTCTGTCCTGTCAAGAAAAATGTGGCCTTCATACTTAAAAGGATAGAATTAGTAAGGGAGAATGGAAACCCTACATGGTGAAGCTTTTCTAAATGGGTTCAAGTTTTCCGGACTAGGTTAAATATATTCCAAGACAGATTCAGAAAGAATTGGAACTGTCCATGATCTTTGAGGCCTTTAAAAAAGATAACAGATTTTCCAAATGCCTAGAGGCAGGTGAAAGCAGTTCCACTTTTCCAAAGATGAACAAAGTTGCTTCTATAAACTATCATCTGGTGAGCTTGACCCTGAAACCCTGGCAAGATTCTTGATCAGGAATTAATAAGGAAGAATTGGTTGCCAACACAGAATAGGTTAGCTAAGAGCAAATTGTTTGTGCATCATTCTTTTACAGGCTAGCAGAACTGGTAGAGCATGGAAATACAGTTGCACCAGCATGACTAGTTTTCAGCAAGTCATTTGACCAGACTTCTTTCTCATGATAACTTCCTGAAAGTGGCAGGAAACATGGGCAGGATCTGAAGACAATTGGTTGGATTGTGCCAGACTGGTCATACCCAAAAGGAGCTGATTAATGACAAGTACTAAACTGGACAATATTTTCTCAAATGTGGCCTGCAGACCAGACATATGAAGCTCAGTTGGGGGAAGTTTAAAAACAAATTGCTGGGCCTTGATACAGACTCATAAATTATAATATCCGGAAGTAGAAGCTCTTTGATGATTTGCGTACTTATTGAAACTCAAAAACCACTCAGTTTCAAGGAGATTTTTAATGTACAGCACAACTCTTTCCTACTCTGTCCTGTCCATAATACCTAGCAGTGATGATGCAATGAGAACCCTCACTATAAGTGTACGTGACACAGTGTTGAGAGTATAGCAGATAGATTGAGTGTTAGAATTAAGATTCCAGAAGATCTTATGAGTAGAGAAAATCTGACGAGATGGACTTGATAGGAATAAACATAAGTTCTTATACTTGGGTATAAAACACAACTGCTAAGTAAAGGATGAGGCAGGAGTGACTTAAGAATTTGTGTTTATAGGGAAAGGTCAGGGGTTTTAAGTAAGAATTAGTTAATAAGACAATTAGATAATTAGACAGTAAGAATTAGTACAATATAGATAACCCATTTAGGTCTTAGTCCAGATATCAAAATATAGTATCTAGAATGAGGAAGGTGACAATCATTTTTAACTTGTGCTGGTTGTTCTTGGAGTGCTATGTTCAGACGGAGCTTTCTACTTCAGAAGGAACAAGGACAAAAAGGCATTTTGTTTTGTCCACATTCTAGTTAGAATACATGAAAAAAGGAATTTTGCAGGTATGGTTAAGGTTAAGGACTCTAACGTGGGGAGATTATCTTGGATCCTTAAGGTAGGCTTACCCTAACCACAAGACTGTAAAGGCACCTTCCTTGACTGACATCAGAGTCAGGGAGACATGATTATAAAAATGGTCAGAGGCATGCAACATTGCTTGTTTTTAAAATGGAGGAAGGAGGCCATGAGCCAAGGAGCTGTGAGTGGCCTCTTGAAAATAGGAAAGGCAAGGAAATGGGTTTACTCCTAGATTATCCAGAAAGGTGCCCTTCTGATAACTTGATTTTAGTCCAGTAAACCTGTGTGGGACAAGAGCTAGATGGAAAAACTTTGTGTTGTTTTAAAGCCCTAAATTTGTGGTTATTTGTTATAGCAGCAGTAGAAAAATACACATTTAGGTGATTTAATGCATTTGTTATTGTAGAGACATCTGAAACCTGGTCACAAGAGCCACAATGAGGGAACATGAATTGTTTGATTTGTATAATAAATGATTCGGTAGGATGAATTTGCTTTCCTTAAGTATTTGAGGGGCTTCCTTATGAAAGAGGGATTAAACTGCTACAGGAATAGACGCAGGGTGAAATAATTTCCATCTATAAGGACTTACCAAGAACAGAATAGACTGTTTCAGAGATGGTAAATTTTCTAACACTAAGGTGTTTAAGCTAAGGCTAGGAAACAGAGATACGTAGGAGGAAGATTTTGTTAAGACTTTTCAACTCTTAGATCTTACATAGCTTTAAGAAGAATATTTGTGGTAGTAACTTTTTTTTTGGGTACCTTATATTCATGATTGATTTCTCTACACTTCCATGCCACAGAACTCCCCTAAAACTACTATAGAATGAATGTCCCAGACTTATGCTAATATTAGGCTAACCTCAAATTTATGGGAAAAGAATATTCTAGTAACACTAAAATTTTAATTTAGGTTTATCTTTGCTAGTTGAATCCAGTAGGGGGCAACATTGTACTATCAGTTTGTTTTATTAGTCCCATCTCATGGGTAGTGCACAGGAGACATTTTGCTCAATCTATTGACTTTAAATGGATTATACACTGCCTCTTAAATGTAACTTTGGTTGTGTGAAACACCCGACTTCTTAGTAAGCAATATGATATTGTTGGATTTTATTTCTCCAATCAAAACTTGTCCCTTTCATTTATTGCACTAAGTCCTACAAATGATACACAGCCTTAGAAAAGTAGCTACGAAAAAAGGTACAAATTCTGTGGTAGCATTTTTTATTTAAAAATTATGTTTTCTTAAATTTTTATA